ACGAATGTCACTGAACCGTAGCCAAATCATCCCGCAGTTGGGTAACTGAATATCGAACAGATCTTCGACCCCCATCAAGATCAAGGACAATCAACGGGCATCAGTTAGTCATACGCCATGTACTGGCCCATGCGGCAGTTGTTCTACTTTCGCTTGTATCTACTTTAACTAATATATTCTTTTAATAACGTCGTTTGTGTCGTACAGTCTTCAGAGCATCCATGATCCCTTTATACAACGATGGGGCAATTCATGTAAAGTGCTGATCACAAGGTGTAACCTCGAAGTTGGGTTATTCGTTACACCATCCCAGTCTATCTCGAGTAGGCCTCCAATCATTCGACATAGATCATCAACGTCGATGGTCTACAAAACATTCGTGTACCTGCGATGCATCAATAATGAACAAGGGAGATCCGGGGCAGACGTAAAGGCAATGATTGGCAAAACAAGGACAGCATTCCTACAGTTGAAGAGAACATATGGAACTCAAAACAACCGTCAAACTATATCAAAGTGCGAATCTTGAATACAAACGTCAAGACAGTTCTATTGTACGTAGCTGAAACTTGGAGAACTACTACAACCATCATCAGAAATGTACAATTACCTATAAACAATTGTTATCGACAGAATGAACAGTCAAATAAAAACTAATCCGCCTCTTCAAATCCAGCACTAGAGCCACATCTTAGTTGTAGTAGCTTCATAACGGGCCCTCCTGACCAATTCTCAGATACATTATTTAACGATTTGTCCTACTATACCTCGCACATCCATGTGGATCTTCGGAAAAGATCATCCTTATCCCTTCCGAGGATCATCTATTAGCTATTAAAAACCTTCTCCAAATCCCATTTGCACAAACATTGGACTGACTTACCCCTCGCTCACTGGGTTGTCTGGTGATTTATCGTGATGCAATATCTCTTCACATGTTTCAATTATTTTATTTAATTCACTCTCTCTTTATAATAAGATGACTAATCTTATATTCGTAATTTACCTTGTTATTCAGTGCTGCATTCTAATTACTAAAACCTGGAGCACACTCGAAATTTAACGCTGTGCGCATATGGTTAAAATGTGTACTGCAAAAATCAGAATTTTTATCCGATTCACATTCAAACTGAATAAGTTGTGAATAGGGTTCTTCGTTCAGCAGAACCTTACAGCTATTCTTAATATCCAGTCAGTATTTAACAATATTGAAGATTTTCGTCAAACGAAGTAATTGTAAACTGAGCGACAGATTTCCAGTTTGCAAAATAATAATATTTCTTTAGCAGCTACCCTCAAGAGGAAACTTTTTATCTAATTTGTTATTCCTACTGTCTTAAATGTTAGTTACGAACTTATAGGAGACGCAGTAGAACTATGTGAGCTGCTAACCAGCACATTTGAACAAGCATTCACTTGATATAATCAAAGTGGATATATAACTGGTAGTTTCAGTATATGAACGTTAGCGGACCTGGAATGCACACCGAATTTTATGAGAGGTGCAATAGGGTTTCTTCCGTCTTATCTTAAAATATTGAGAAAAACATCAAAACAGTTGGAAATTATCTAGATAGACAACAAGTGATGACATCTTTGCAACACGGATTTATTTGTCAAACGTCGCGCGTAATTTGTTATCTGGAATACCCTAGTGACATAATAAACCATATAGATGAAGGGAAACTTGTTGTCATTCTGTGCTTTGACCTTACTAAAACGTTTGATAAGGTACAATACTCTTCTCTTCTATTTAAAATAGATATTTGGTATGGCAGATAAAATGCATAACTGGATTTCATCCTTCTTAAAGGACCGAGCTCAGGCAATGAAAATAAGACAATATCTCTTCTACCCTCAGAACATTATTATTCTTATTATTCACAAACATCTTATGGGTACATAAGCATTGTATGCAATGATACAAAAGTTCCAATAATGTCAGCATTATATTTGCCATATTTGAAAAAGAGAAAAGAAAAAGAAAATATTAACAAAAAATAATACTAATTACTGATCTCATTCTCCAGGGCTCAGTCATGAGAGCCCTGTGGTTTATGACGCATGGTAGTGACATATGTTATTGCCCTACTTCCATAAAATCTTCTTACTTGCTGACGACCCTAAATTTGTACATACATTCCACCCAAGCCCTCCGTTTAAGTGTCGGTCGAGAAACACAGGATGGTCTGGATGAATTCCAAAACTGTCGTGATGCATTGTTTCTCCTTCTTCATATTGTAAGTCCGGGATACATATATTTTGGTACCTTTAAACCATAGGTAAGTTTACGTCCAAACAATTTGGAGTGTAGATAGCCAAGTCGCATCTGCAATTCAGGAGAGAAATATTCCGAAACTCTTTTATTTACTGAACAAGCTACATCACAAGTCAATGTCTGTAGATCTATTACTTCTATCAATCATAACATCCACTAGAAGGAGTCAAAAATGGTTCTCTATAAGGTATATGTTTGATCCCCACTAAAATGTTGATCAACAATATTCATTTGCATGCAACTTCTAGGCATAAAGCAAATCGAGAAAGTGCAATGCTAGTTTACAAGACTTCTCAAGCCAGAACTATAATATTCAGATAGATGTGAAGTATGGAAACTGGATTATAAATATATAAGACGAAGTAAATTTAACCTTGCATTACTTTTCGAAATTCTACATAAATAAACAACAGTATATTTTTATACCTTAAAAATTGTAAAAAATAATTCTTACGATCTTCGAAATGGAGACTTCATATGAAAGATATAGACAATATCAGAGAGATAATGTCGATTCCCTTTGTAACATGCTACGCAAGACTCTTTATTATGTTAGCAGTAAACATCAGGTGAAGTTAATCTTTATTAACATCCATTTGAACACACGAATATTGGTACAAGGAAACACTGAATACATATGCGCCACACTTCCTCATTGGATTTGTGTGAGCACTGAAATACTACCAACATGCATAAAACAAAACGTGGTTTTCTTATGGAGCCACTCTTTGAGCATTTAACCTACAAGTATAATCCACAAGGTAGTAGAGCAACGTTACGAGATGCGATCCCATAGTAGCCGGTTACCAACAATAAGTTCATACGACATTGGTTCTTTCAGGATCCTGAAGCCTACGTGCATCATTGGTTTGGAATCGTGATTTTCCAACTCCCCTAGGTGAACTTTCCGTGTCCACCAACTCGGTTAAAGCACCGGACATTCGATTTTCGTCTTCTCAACTTCGTAAACAACATCCACACCAAAAGAAGTCAAACGCTTATTCAATTTAAATCCTCTCTAAACTGTTTATGTAGACCATTTCGGAGTTTCTTACTTGCTCGATAAAGCTAATCTAAGCCAGTAACATTGTACACGTCACAGTCTCAACAACATAGTTTGTTCGTTTCTTTTTTTATTTACTTCCTATTCCCTTTTTGTGACCATTGAATGATTATGTTTTTTGAGTTTTTTTTACCTTCACAACTATTGATGGTGTTGCACACATTAGGCCTCAAAAATACCTTGAACTACGATCCAATAAAACCTCAAGCAACCCAGGAATACTAAGGTGGAAAATCAGGGACACTCAGGGACTTTTCATGGGAACCACTGTCAATAATAATAATGTGAGACCCTCTTTATATATAATATCAGTTTTGACAATTTACTATATGTTACTGTTCAACCACTTACTTTCAAACCCTCACCCACTGCCTTTAAATAATTGGGTTTCACAACTCTCTTTCCTACTGGTTTGTTCTCGTTATTTTAACTTGTATGGAAATCCACGCTCTGTCATATGTTACTATGCAATGCTGTTTCGATACACTACCAGCTCTAAATGTCCGGTATGTGTTGCTCAAGGTGCTTGAGGAACTAGTGGTTTGTAACAAGGTATGGAACGTAGAGGTTGGAGGTGAGACAAAACTGTGACCCAACCAACGACTTAAAAGAGCCGACCATCAAAATAGGGGGAAGGGTGGAGTTTCTGACTAGCGAATATTGATGGTGAGGGAGACGATTTAAATCCACCCTGTAATGTTAGTAACATTGTGATCTTGCCGGTTGACTAGCATGCTTCCTGTGAAACAGCGCTATATGGCGATAGCTTGCTATTATTAATATTTAATGAGGTCAGGCTTGTCCAACCAAGCAAGGGTTAACTTCCGTCTTGCTTTCGGACTTTGACAGTGTATTCTGTGACTCAGAATGAGAGTCTAGGGAAAACTTATCGATCAAGCTGGTGTTGTCTGCCGCTCTCTTTCAATCTTTTCTTTGTCTCCACACAGTCGTCCAATATCTTGTCATTCAGGACAGTCACACGGGGACTACTTGTAATGGAGGCGGTTTTGTCCATGCCTTCAATATCTACTTTACAATCATGACTACTAATATCAAGTGGCATTTCACTCTTCATTTGTTACAAAGAAAATTTAATTTTTCACGATTCACATTCGTGTGTTTATCTCATCCCGTAATAACACATAATACACTGACACATCCTACGCTTTCAGAAATTGCGTTACCAGTGCAGCAAACATCGATTTTCTTGCAGGCCAAGGCCAAAAAGGCTCATAACCTACCGGATCAGTAGTGTCTTGTGCGAACAGTAAGACATACAAGGCCAGTGAAGTTAGGCTTCGAGCATCTTTTGCATGCACTAGGAATTAAACGGGAACACAGTTTACAGAACCACTTTTCACACACATCACATACCATTCCTTCATTCACAGAAAAAGAAAAATTGGGCTGTTCACATCTGAAAGTACTGTCAATCGTTGTAAACGGATTGAGAGGGTAAAACATGACAAAAAAAACATACAAAACGGTCCTAACCGAAGCCAGATTTGGAATCTATTTTAAAAAGAACACCCCAAGAAGTATTTGAAGAAAATCCTAAACCAGAGCCTAAATAATGTAGGTTTGAATAGACCGAGAGTGTTTTCTATGCAATAGATACACAAGAGCACTGTTAAATCACTACAATTGCTTTTTTCGAAACACGCGCACAATTTTGAATAGTTTAGAATAACATAGTAGATCCGTTGTTGCTAAACAGTCTTTAATAATTATAATAATTCATATGGTTATTTCAGAAGTCTTCAGTTTCAGAAGCTAACGGAGTGCTGAATAACAAGCTAATTGTAAATAAGGTGAAAAATTGTTCAAAACCTCAGCGAATGAATTTGAAGTAAACCCTATAGAAGCTAGTATCAGATATTGTGGAGAAGCTTTTAACGTCACTAACAGGTTCTCTGTACATTTCAAAACTATTTATTCATTATAAATGTACTTCAATTTTTCATATTGTAAGTGGTTCCCTGAGCAAGCAGTATAAACTCCCTGGTTAAATGAAAGTTCAAGGTCACTAATACACCTGCAGCGTACTAATCCGTGCTTTTACACTGTTGGTTATTTTCGGTAAGTGTCGTCATTAAGCGTACATGTGTTTTATGTCTTTAGTCAGTGATCGAGTTACTTTCCTGTTTTTTCTAGATTCTTATCAACTGGGTGTTTCGCTGAAATCTTAACGCACAACCAAAATCAACTTGGTCGTGGAATAAATACCTACCTATTAACAGTTCGGAATTTTAAAATGATAAAAGAACTGAGTGCTTCTGATGATGAGTCTGAGCCTCTGAAAATTGAGAGCTTGTGCACTAGATGCTTACAGAACGTAAGTGTTTGCTGGATATATTGTATGACGGTAAAGTTAATACTTCGAAGTATAATTTGTTTTCATTTTCACGGAAGTTTTTCAATCAATTATTAGAAACATGATGAAAACCAATCGTCATAAATGGCCTAGCGCTTATTCCTGTTCAGTTAGTCTAATTCTTTCCTACAATAAGTTTCCCAATGTTAGTGATCAGAAGAATATTCGGATCTAACAGTAATATATTTTTGCATTGTATTTAAATGTCACTATTCAATCCATTTTTATGTTGTCAATTGCGTTGTGCACATGAAGGGCAGGTTTTTTCTAAACGCCATCGACTGTCGCGCAGATGCCAAGAGAACAGTTCTTAAATGTTTTTACTTAAACGCGGATCTAATAATATTATATAAGATAAAGAATAGTTGAACTAAAGGACAGTAATAAATTTGTCTAGTAAATTTTATAGGAGTTCTTGGTAGAGGTCAAATAAAACAATGTATTACTAGTCGGTATAAATATTAAATGAAAGGTCATCATAAACTATCACGAATGAAACCATAAAACCCTCTGTTAGCTAATTTGTCGTTATGGGCTTCTATGAAACTTCAGTCGATCATCTGAAGTCGTTTTTATTCAATTATAAAGTGTTAACTGAATATGCACATATCCCAGTATCTGATGTAGATTCAGATCACTTTCAGACTTTTGTTGTGAGGACAGAGTCAAGAGACTGTTAGTCCTTTTCATGTTAGCCTTTATGTGACTAGTCTTTTGAATGGGTCAGCTGGGAGTGTGGACATGGTTTCTTCCGGTAGCAAGTTCCATAGGTTTAATGCTTCTTAGGCAAACCTGCATCCCATGAGTTTTTTGCTTCTCTTTTCAAACTTCCCTGTTATGTCCTCTAAGTTGTCCTAGTCTGGTTAAAAAACGATCAGGTACGCAAAATGCATTGTCTTGTAAATGAAAAATAACACATCTTAGTCTTCAGCAATATATGACTTGTCCAGGTGCAATGCAAACATTTGTGTAAGTGGCTACACGAGCATTTGTCTTTTGTATTTTTTTTAAAAAAAAAATTTGACTCGCCTTTCCAACACGAGGTTGTTATTACTATGATACTTTAAAATTAGACTGTACTAGGGGCATACAAAACCTGGTGAACATACACAAATGCCCTGGTACGGCCGAGCGTAGGGAGAGTTAGAAATCCATCTCGAAATGCTCTCACATGAACACGCGCATACAGCCACTGCCAAGGAAGTCCTACTGTTAGTGGGATATAGATTGGATTAAAGCATGTTTTATGCATGATGATGTTGCTGCGCGCTGATTGGCTAATTCTAAACCGATCAGCCCGGGCATATTATTGGAGAAAAATCTAGAAGCTTTTTATGTATATACTATAAATATATGAACGTTATTTAAACCAGTGATTGCTGCTCACCTACCATTGTTATTTTTACAATACAACTTCATTCCTGTTCAATGTGTTCTGATTTTGGGGTCTTATTGAGTGTCATTGTATAAGAATACTAAGCAATAGGAATAGCTGGGTCGTTTATATAGCAAAAATACAATTATAACACCTACTCACTGCCTTCTCACGGTAGGAGTGTTGTTTACGAAATTGAGAAGACGAAAATCGAATGTCCGGTGCTTTAACCGAGTTGGTGGACACGGAAAGTTCACCTAGGGGAGTTGGAAAATCACGATTCCAAACCAATGATGCACGTAGGCTTCAGGATCCTGAAAGAACCAATGTCGTATGAACTTATTGTTGGTAACCGGCTACTATGGGATCGCATCTCGTAACGTTGCTCTACTACCTTGTGGATTATACTTGTAGGTTAAATGCTCAAAGAGTGGCTCCATAAGAAAACCACGTTTTGTTTTATGCATGTTGGTAGTATTTCAGTGCTCACACAAATCCAATGAGGAAGTGTGGCGCATATGTATTCAGTGTTTCCTTGTACCAATATTTATGTTCAAATAAATTAAGGTTAAGATGTTTCTGACTTAAAAAGGGTATACTATCGTATTACTGCAATCAACTAAACAATATGGAACAATAATGGTTAATTCTTGTTGTTTCTTACAGTTGCTCCCAACTAATAATTGTTCTGAATTCAAAAATTAAGTACAAATTCATGTACATCACTCCGTAGTCCTCTATTCGTGTCCATGGAGCAATTAAACTACTCAGTTTCTCAAACTGAAGTAGAGTTGGTTCCGGTTTGGACTTGTAAACCTATGTTTAGTATTTGAGTGATTGTATTATGAGTCCATCGCTTTCCATTATATTAGTATGCAACGTTCAATCAGACTAAATACAAGTGCATGTCCGTCTTGACGTATATTACAGTTAACAAACAATCCATTAATGCCATGGTCGAACTTAATAGTTTCAAATTAATTGGGCATTAGGTAGAGAGTCACTAATAAATATATTTTCGTTATATCCGAATAATTAGATTGTTTTTCTGACTTTTTACTATTTAGTGTAAACCACTTCTTCAGAGTAAATAAGTGACCGATTTAGATGAATACCAGTTGAAATAGTACAATGAAACAATGCAGAATAGTTTTAGTACAAACGAAATCAATATTCAGATCTATTATGGTTTTGATTGTAACTTAAACTATTCTACATTGTTTCATTGTACTATTTAAACTGGTATTAATCTAATTTGGTCACTTATTTACTCTGAAGAAGTGGGTTACATTAATTGGTGATGTACTCTGCCTTAAACCTGGTCATTTTTATGGATTATTAATTTGGATTTATAATTGTAGAACCAGATGAGGAATTATTGGCAAGAATATTCTTTGTTCATATGATTGTGTTTTAGTATAATGGGAATTTTTCAGCGATTAAAGTAGTGAAACGTCAAAAATACAGTTTTCTACTTAATGGGTATATCAGATGTTAGGATTTTCAGAAATCTGAATGTTTAAATATCAAGTGAAGATATTGATATGAACCACCTTTATAGATTTTATAAATTGCTATCTCACTTAGTTGTTAAATTGCATTATCAGCTTGCATGTTTTCATGTAGCTAAATATGAGTAGATTTTAGACCGTAACATATGCTATTCAACGCTTTCTTTAAATTATGTTTATTTATTTAAACACAAATATTGGTACAAAGAGGCACCAGATACAAATGCACCACACAAATTTCATTTGATTTGTGTGAGGGCTTGGATACTACCTGGATGTCCAGATCGAAGCAGGTGGTTTTCTTAGGGGACCACACCCCGAGCTTTTGACCTAAAGATCTGATACACAAGGCAATGGAGCATCGTGAGGAGATGCAGTCCCATGGTAGCCGGTGACCAACGATTGATTCATACGCCATTTGTTTCCTCAGGATACTCGAACTCATATTCACCATTGGTTCGGAATCAGGGTTTTCCAACTCCTCTAGGTGGACCATCCGTGTCCACGATCCCGGTTAAAGCACCGGACATTCGCTTTTCGCCCTTTCAATTTTGTAAACAACAGTGAAGCAACGAGAAGGCAGTGAGTAGGACTTCCCTGGTAAAAGCTATATACGCGTGTGCATGTGTGGGAATTTGGAGACGGAGAGCGGACTCTCCCCACTCTCGGTCGTACCAGGGCATTTTGGGGCATTATGCTGACTAATTGCAGTCGGTTCCAAAATCATGAGGTGGTTTATTTATATACTACCATTAAAATGGATGGTACTTGATACTTGCTCAGATTTGAGATCACATGTCATCCTTTATTGTGTAGAAAAGATGCTACATTAGCCATTGAATTCTTTGATGTAATTATTTGCCTGTTTCACTGTCTAAAAAGTCAATCTCACAATTTTTTTATTTTGGTGACTTTAGGGCACAACGATTCTTATGTTAACAAAAATTTCATATTTTAAAGAGGTTGTCATCTCATCCTTCAGTTGTCCTCATTGTGGTTATGAGAATCGGTCTCTTATGCCAGCTTCACAAATTCAAGATAAAGGACAACGTATAACACTCAAAGTTAACAACGTGAAAGATATGAACAGACGTGTTGTTATACCAGTAGGTTCAACAGTGAGCATTCCTGAATATGATTCCTCATTTCCTTTTTCTGATGGAGGTTAGTTTTACTACTATTCCTACCTACATTTTAATAAATTTACATGTATGCTTGTTTTGTTATTTTGTTCTTAGCTCTTTTAAAAACAGTAATTAACCGAATAAACTCGTACGGATCAAATTCATCCTTGATTCGGTGGATAATGTGTATTCATCAGTATGATGTTGATTAGGCTGAAGCTTAATAGGACTTGAATTCATTGTTTAGTTATTGATCTCTTGAGATTTTTATCCTATCATTGTTCGATCTCGTGTTCAATATTTTCTACATAAACTAGTGTATTTGTCACCCATAAGAATAATCTATACATACATCGAACATACTCTGCAAACAAAAAACCACTGCATAAATTTAATAGTTAACTTCTCAGATAAAAAGTACAACTGTATGATATTCACTCAAAGAACACGTTAAGTTCATTCATCGGTTTTTAGGTTAACGTTAATCCAAATAATTCTTGAACATGCACTTAAACCTGGTAAAATTCTTCCCTGCCATAACACATACTGCAGAAAACTAACCGGTGTTTTTAATTCAGTCAGTAATCATTTCCTGATTTTAATTCTAATTAACCTGAATAAACTACTGAAAAATAGGGAGATATGAAGTGTATCAAATGACCTATATTTTAAACTGTATAGCTCCTACCATAGCTTGTCTTTGTGACAATAAAATCCGGGTAATTCACATGGTGTTCAGTTGGTTGATTGTAAATCGTGATCATGCGATCTTTACCAAAACAAGGTGTTCGGGAATAGGCTTTTTACGTTATATTGCCTGTTGTTACTGCTCTGTATTAACCTACGCCCCCGAATGCCCTGGTAAGGCCGAGAGTGGGGAGAGTCCTCTCTCCCTTTCGAAATACTCTCACATGGCTACGCAGATATAGCCTGTGATACGGAAGTCCTACTCACTGCCTTCTCGTGGCATTACCGTTGTTTACGAAATTGAGAGGACGAAAAGCGAACGTCCGGTGCTTTAACCGGGCTGGTGGACACGGAAAGTTCACCTAGGGGAGTTTGAAAACCCTAATTCCAAACCAATGGTGCACATGGGTTCCAGTATCCTGAAGGAACAAATGGCGTATGAATCAATCGTTGGTCACCGGCTACCATGGGACTACATCTCCTCACGATGCTCCACTGCCTTGTGGATCAGACCTGTAGGTTAAAGGCTCGGAGAGTGGCTCCATAAGAAAACCACCTGCTTCGGTTTAGGCGTGTTGGTAGTATTTCAGTGCTCACACAAATCCAATGACGAAGTGTGACGCATATGTATTTGGTGTCTCCTTGTATCAATATTTATTAGTTCAAATAATAATTATGATAATGATCTATGTGAACTAATTCAGAGACCCACTGGTCATGATCACTAAGTCGTCAATTAAGGTGCTTCTGAAATCTTTCAGCAGCATCATATTAACGCATGTCTAGCTTCATTAGTGATTCATGTATTCAGCCATTTCTGAAATACTTACATTTCTATGACCTGCTATTTCTTTTTACATATTTCCTGTAATTTTTTTAGTTGTATCAACAATTGAAGGAATTATAACAGGATTTGTAGATAATCTGAATAGTTTACAACCTGAAAGAAAGGTATGTGTCATATCAGTTTCAATTACATTCATAGGAGAGTCAACCTGATTTAGCGTTGAAAATTGAGAAATTCATCGAGCAGTTGCGTACTTTGATAAAGGTGGACAAGCCATTCTCACTTGTAAGTACAGTAGTTTTCTATCAATTGATTTCATGTTAATAGTTGTCAACTCCTTGATATCCTACTTTTCTAAAAAAACTAGTGATACCCTTTATTAATTACATAATAGTGTTACAGAGTATAGATGTAGTGTACCATTACCTTCGTGTACTCCGATTTCGCACAGTCAGATATTATCACCAGTCTTCGGAAAAGTGTAACTTAAAACCGTGTATAAAAAGTTAACTTGGTTACTAAGTTACAGTGAATTAATTAAATAAATGTGTTTAGTTTTATTGAGCTTCATATGACAGTTAAATAGAACCAGCCCCCAAATGCGCTGGTACGGCCGAGAGTGGGGAGAGTCACCTCTCCCTCTCGAAATACTCTCATGTGGTCAGCGAATATATTGCCTCTGCCAGGGAAGTCCTACTCACTACCTTCTCGTGGCGGGGGTGTTGTTTACGAAAGTGAGAGGACGAAAAGCGAATGTCCGGCGCTTTAACCGGGTTGGTGGACATGGAGGGTCCACCTAGGGGAGTTGGAAAACCCTGATTCCAAACCAGTGGTGCACATGGGCTCCAGTATCCTGAGGGGACAAATGGCGTACGAATCAACCGTTGATCACCGGCTACCATGGGACTGCATCTCCTCACGATTCTCCACTGCCTTGTAGATCAGACATTCAGGTCAAAGGCTCGGGGTGTGGCCCCCTAAAAAACCACCTGCTTCAGTCTGGGCACCTGGGCAGTATCACAGCCCTCACACAAATCGAATGAGATTTGTGTGGCGCATATTTATCTGGTGCTTTTTGTACCAATATTTATGTGTTTAAATAAATAAAATTATACCTGTAGGTTAAAGGCTCCATAAAAACCACCTGCTTCGGTTTAGGCGTGTTGGTAGTATTTCAGTGCTCACACAAATTTAATGACGAATTGTGGCGTATATATATTTGGTGTCACTTTGTAGCAACATTTATGTTTAAATAAAAATACATAAAATAAATAAGTAACATATATTTCCTAAGTTGATATCATTTACCCTCATTGTTTAATACATTCAACTTTTAATTCTTTAGGTTATAGATGATCCATCAGGTAATGGATTCATTGAAAATTACTTAGCTCCAAATGACGATCCACAAATTGAAATTGAAACATATGTACGTACTCCAGAGCAAAATGAATTACTTGGTCTTCAAGCTCAACCAGTTGAACAAGTGGATAACTCATCTGACTCTAAAACAATCCAAAAAGTAAGTTATTACCTTTGTCAGATTTGTGATATTTTGAGTAATTTTAACATTTCAGTTAATTTATTATTTTCATAGTTGAAATCATGAGTCAATTGAAGCTAGACCACTATGGAAAACCTGGAAGCACTGGGCAGTCGTTTCGTCCTATTATGGGACTCCTCAGTGGCAGTGCTCATCCACGATCCCGCACTCGCGATATTGGAGGTCAACCAAGTCTGTTGTAGAGATATTAACTCACTGAATACAATTGGTGAACGGTCGCTCAAACATCGTGGATTGGTTGAAGTTAGACATTAACACCGTTGGATGCCGGCTCAGTGGTCTATTTGTTAAGTGCTCTGGCGCGAGACTGTTATGTCCTGGGTTCGATTCTCGCGAGTGCGGGATCGTGGATGCGCACTGCTGAGGAGTCCCATAATAGGACGAAGCGGCCGTCCAGTATTCCAGGTTTTCCACGGTGGTCTAGCTTCAATTGACTCATGATTTCAACTATGAAAATACTGAAATATCCACAAAGCCCCTTCTAGTCGATAATTTATTATTATTATTATTATTATTATTATTATTGTTATCATTATTATAGGAATCAAATAGTGAGACCTCAAAAATCGAAAAAGATGAAGTTATGTCTTTGAACGTCAACTGTCCATCGTGCAATACACTTACTGAAAATAAAATGAAAGTTGTTGGTAAGTGTTTTTATAACTTTCATAAATATACAAAAGTTAGATAGAAAAGGAAAACAATTTTCTAACCTAAATGGACTGAGCTTCTAACTAACTACTACTTCTACATCTAGTGCTTAACTACGCTAAAGAACACTATAATCGAGCTGAACCGCGACTATCGTAACCAATGATTGGAGACTCTGGGTGATATGGCTCAGAATCGATCACAATGGTGTAGGGGTATACACTCTTTATCTTCCCTTAAACCTTAAGATTAAAATTGCTTCATATCTGTCTTCCTCCCTATACTATATCCTTTTATACAATCTTTCTTTTATATATTACCACCACTAAATTAACTACTTCTACGAATCCAGTGTTGATCTTGTTGTGTTAATGAGTGAGGTATGGCAACTTGGACCGATGCATATATCTGCCTGGTCCTATGTTGTAGCTGACTGACTGACTGAATCGAGCTAGACGATACAATGAAAAAGTAAATACTGGAAATGTATTGTTACTGCACAACGGGAAATTCATATTGAGGTGTCTCGACACAAAACGATCTGTTAATTAAACGTAAAAGCTTTAATACTTTTTTTGTTAAGTGTTATCTTACAAGTTCATTTATCATTCCCACCTAGTACCAATGCTATTTTTTACTAACCGTCAAGCCCAATAATTATACGAATTAAATCTTATGGTTTTGGGAACTGCTGTATACACATTTGAATAATTTATTGAATGATATTTCAAATTGATAGGGATTCTCACCCATAATCCTTTTCTTTCTACTAACAAGAGTTCCACCTCATTAACCTTCAACTGCATTATAGGTGGACGTTGATGTTCAACACCTCCGTCTGCTGCAAAGTAGCTTTTAGTATTAGTTTACTTTTTAGGTGGCGGTCATGTGCCATCGAAATGTAATCAAACATATTTGGCTCATATTAGGCTAACCATCTCTCTTGTTTAAGGTGAAAGAGATCTCCACCATCTAAATACCAGCGATAGATAAACCAACACAAATTCTACCTCTATGTCATTTATACCTGTAATTGATCGATTTCTTTATAATAAATGGGAGATGTTGAGGTTTACCCAAATCAATATTGCAACTTATTAAGATTTCCACAGCAAAAATACTTATCATTTTGATGCTGTTTGACGAGATTACGTGATCACCTGATCACAAAAGATCAGCAACACAACGACAGATAAGCTAACTATTTCAATGCGTCCCAGCCCTTCTAACTAGAGGGAGAAGACCAGGTTCAGATGAGGGAAAGGTATATTCCACAAGATGTTAGAGGCACGAGTAAACAATCACACAGTTGAAACATAGATATACTGCATTGAAAAATCCTTTGTAAACGTGACAAAAAGCGTATTAAAAGAAGAAACGAATCAATAACACTTGGGGTCCTTTCAAGTGGGAAATACAATTTGAAGGTAAATGTGAGTGCCTTTTGCGCGAAAACAAGAAATTCAAATATCCAAAATAAAATTACAAAACTAAGACGTTTGCTAAGTGATTTCTGGGGATCTAGCATCGCCAACATTTGTCACCCATTCTTATGGGTTGTTTTGTCCTATAAAACACTGTATATGCTGTGACGTTTGCTTAATCCGTTGTATTTACTTAAGATATGAAGGAACAGTTAATTATTTTCATCTACTCTCTTCTTACTTGCATTGTGTTGTCATCGTTAAGGTATCATACTGTCTTAGTCGTTTGAATTATCCAAGCACGTTCGTTTGGCCATCGCTTTGAAAGTATTTTTCATCATTCCCATATTAGACCATAGCAATTACAGATTACAATAGTCATCAGATAAAAGCGTGATATAACCCCATTTAATCAATAACTGTTGATTCGGAAACTCTTAGTTGGGATTTCTCAAAACTAACTCCAACCCACTTACGTTTTTAATCTCTTTGTAGGTCTTCTACATTGCCGTATGCATTTTCTCTTCGTTTAGCCATCGCATACTTCCAATGCTTTTCCATCTAGTGTCGTTATATTAACCAGCCCATTGTTTGTCTGTTACATATATTGGAAGCGTACAGGATGATTTAGATATACTTGTTCACTGAAACTATCCCTTTAGATAATTGGAGAAATCTTTGACAATTTCAGATTGCTATTTTACATCACGGTATCTCTGCTTGTTTGTTTTGACGAGCTGTTTGGGTATTTCATTTTACTGTAGTGATAATTTGGAGGCACAACATCTATTTTATTTCACCATGTCTAAATTTACAGATATTCCTCATTTTAAAGAGGTAATACTGATGGCAATCAACTGCCCAGTATGTGGTTTTAGGGATTCTGAAGTTAAGTCCGGTGGTGGAGTCTCACCAAAAGGCAGACATTACAAACTACGAATTACTAATATATACGATTTATCACGGGATATTTTGGTGTCCGAAACTGCAGCTGTGAAAATACCCGAACTTGATTTCGAGTCTATGGGTGGTACTCTTGGTGGGAGATTTACAACAATAGAAGGTCTTTTAGTGGCCATAACCAAACAAGTTAGTTTATGAATGTATTTTTGTGAATTTTTCGTATGTCCTGTGGTAATGAATAGTAAATGTAACATTTCGTAATAATTAGTCATCACTAAGTATCGAATGGTTTTCGTTGTTGGTTAATTTTATTGTTGCAAATCAATGGTATAGATAGTTGTGGAGTCACACTTGATCATAATAAGTTTTCTTTTCCTTCCCAGTGTCCTTCCTGTCTCTTCCGTTAAGGTTTTCAACGTTCTAACTCCTTCCAATTTCGTCAATATACTTTACTCGATAAAGTCAATGGTATGGAGAGCTAATCAGAAGTAGCCTAATAAGGTCAATCGATAGCAATTATATGTGAGTATTTGGGCATTTTATTCGATAGCCCAATACACTTTCTCGCTCAATGTGATCATTTGAGGTGTTAGCGCATAGCACACTTTGTATTAGTATCAGACTTTTGGACACCACCCATCACAACAGTCACCATCCCAATTAATGTACGCACATTGTTTCTAACCCGACCGTTGCTGCCACCTTGACGTGGTGGTCGGGCTTGCATATCGTGATGAACCAATCGAGCTATACTGGCTGGAACAATCGTTCCTCAAGGTCCTACCATGCCAGGCAGGTCGGTTGAAGAGCGGTAAGACTGAAAGAAGCAAACCCAAGGTCCGAAGGCGAAGTCGTACTGTCGACTGTACAGAGGTGTGACAGCAGTAAGGTGTTTTCTTCAGACAACCAGCATAACAGCGATGCTGCCTTCCCATAAGGAGGAGTGGGTTTAGAAAAGATCGACCCTAAAAATGCACACCTCGCCTTATCCCATGGATTTCCGTCTCCGGCGGTAAGGTCCTCTAAAGAACGGAGCTAACACATCAAAAATCCCTCGCAAAAGAGCCGTGCGTGACCGGCCTCAAGCAGTTGTCCCTTGTGCACTGCGGCCACTCAGTTAAATAAATCTCAGAAAACAAATGTAAGTTATTATCTTGTAACTTCATAAATTCACTAGGTAAATAACTATTTATATATTTAATTATTACAGTTAGTCAGTACTAATCCTTTTATCGTTGGAGATAGTAGTTCTGCAGAAGAGACAGCAGGCAGATTGGGATCAATCATCAATGAAATAAAAGAGGTTAGTTTTATATATGTATTCGTCAGTTACATTCAATTATTATAATATTTCACTGTGTGTGACACCAAATACTGTATGAAGTTTATATACAGTAAACCAATACATTTAAACTGTCAGGTTCATAAATCATTTCTGATTAGTCCTTTAAATATCAATATTATATAATTAACATTGTAATAAGTGGCTTAAACCCCCAAATGCCCTGGTACGGCCGAGAGTGGGGAGAGTCCGCTCTCCCTCTCCAAATGCTATCAAATGGCCACGCGCATATAGCCCCTGCCAGGGAAGTTCTACTCACTGTCTCCTCACGATAGAGGTGTTGTTTACAAAATTGAGAAGACGAAAATCGAATGTCCAGCGCTTTAACCGGGTTGGTGGACACGGAAGACACAGCTACCATGAACCCGAGAAAGGATAGAAAATTGAATTTCTAACATTTTGCAGTTTAGTTTAAGTCGTTTCTTCAGAGGATAAATATAAATTATTGTTTATCATTGTTTTTATTCTAATTCTAATCTAAAAATCATCAAACTGTAAATGATGATTAAACAAGGAGGGGGGGTTTGTGGAAGGGGTTTCGTGGATATTATAATAGTTTTAATAGTTGAGATCATGAATCAATTGGAATTAAATCACCATGGAAAACTTGGAACCACTGGACGGGCGTTCCATTCTATTGTTGGATTCCTCAGCAGTGCCCATCCACGATCTAGGTTTCCCATGATGGTCTAACTTCAATCGATTTTAATTATTAAAATTTTCTTTTTATTTATTATATCACTTCTTTTGGTAATATTAAAAAATTATATTTTAGATTACATCCGGTAATAAACTCAATATACTATTCGAATTAAATGATCCTGCCGGTAATAGTTATATTCAGGTAAGAGTAAACTATAAGTTAATTATGATTTCATATTATTCTATATATCTGATATGCTTGATACTAATTACTATTCTCGGCAAACGAACGAAGGTCAATGATACAATGACACAATAGGCTAATCTAATCCGTTGTCCTAGGCCCCGCTAAGTAGAGGAAGAAGTCCAAGACGAAGTAGAGGAAAATATATTCTGTAAGCAACTGAAGTACAAGCAATCACAATAGGAAGAAATCAAACGTATTTATACAGTATAAATTTGTCCTTGGTAAGCATTACAAAATAGCACACGAAAAATATACAACAGACCAATAGCGTTTAAGGTATTTCCAAGTGGGAAATACGATTCGAAGGTGAAAGGATTGCTTGTGGCGCGAAAACAAGGAAATACAAAATTTCAAAATAAAATTACAAAATTAAGTCATTTATCAAGTAAGTTCTGGGGATTTAACAACCCAACAATATCAAAATTGTGCTGATGATGAGGTATGATAACTTGAACCGATGCATATTTGTACCTGGTCCTACGTTGTACTTGACTGACTATATATTAAAATATTGGTATTTATTTTGTAAAATGATATACACGTCTAATTTTTACAACAATTCACTTTAAAAAAAACATATCTGTCAAATTTTATAGTTGAATTCATGAGTCCAGTGAAGCTTAGTATTTGACCACAGACACCTTGGAAATATTGCTCGCATCTCCTGGGATCACCGGGTAAGTATTAGTGAGGTTAGACACAGGGTATTAGGAAACGATGGTAAATCAGTTGATGAGGTTAGGAATCTTCATCGACTGAGATAGTTGAGCCATGTGTTACGTATGCTTGAACACCAATTCCACGACGCTCTATGCTGACTAGTGTAGGTGATGGTTGGAAGAGAGTTAGGGGCGGACAAACCAAAACATGGCATCAATGATTGAAGTCATTAACTTCTAGTCTGAGTCATGTTGGTAGATGCAGAATACTTGGTTGGGGTCCGCGTGACTATCGTAACCAATGGTTGGAGACTCTATGTGACATGGCCCAGAATCGATCACAATAGTGTAGGGGTATACAGTCTTTGTCTTCCCTTAAACCGTGAGGTTAAAATTGCTTCATATCTGTCTTCCTTCCTGTACTATATCCTTTTATACAACATTTCTTTTATAAATTACCACCACTAAATTAACTACTATGAATTCGGTGTTGATCTTGTTGTGTTAATGAGTGAGGTATGGCAACTTGGACCGATGCATATATGTGCCTGGTCCAACGTTGTAGCTGACGAACTGATACATTTACAGTTTAAGCAAGTATTATTTACAAGCTTCAAAATTAAACTATAACTGCAAGAGGAAAAAAAACCCGATGTACTTGTTTCTGAAAGTTATAAACACCTTCAAAAGACAAGTAATTAAGAAAATTATGAGTTGTGTATCTTGTAAGGTATACACGACAAATTTATGAGTAAACCAAAAACTTATCAACAAGGTGATTGATTTAAATCTCATGTGATTACTTCTCTGACTCAGGGTAATATTTGACAGATATCAGAAGGGGTTGTGTGAAGATTTCAGTAATTTAATAATTGAATTCATGAGTTGATTGAAGCTTTCAGGTTTTCCATGGTGGTCTAGCTTCAGTGAAGTCAGTCAGTCAGCGAGCTACAACGTAGGACCAGGCACATTTATGCATCGGTCCAAGTTACCATACTTCATTAACACAACAAGATCAACACTGGATTCGTAGAAGTAGTTAATTTAGTGGTGGTAATATATAAAAGAAAGATTGTATATAAGGATATAGTACAAGAAGAAAGAAAGATATAAAGCAATTTTAATCTCAAAGTCTAAGGGAAGACAAATAGTGTATACACCTACACCATTGTGATCGATTCTAAGCCATGTCACACAAAGTCTCCACTTCAAATGTATGTTATTAACTATATGAATAATCGATAGTCATTATCATGTGGCGAAATAATAAATCTCTAAACTTTTGGGCCCCAAAATGCCCTGGTACGGCCGTGAGTGAAGATGACCTGCCCTCTCTCTTGAAATGGTCTCCCACGGCCACGCGTATACAGCCTGTGCTAGGAAAGTCCTACTCACTGTTTTCTCGTGGCATTGCTGTTCTTTATGAAATTAAGAGGATGAAAAGTGAATGTCCGGTGCTTAAACGGGGTTGGTTGACATGGCGCATCCACCTAGGGGAGTTGGCGAACCCTGATTCCAAATCAGTGGTGTACATGGGCTCCAGTATACTGAGGAAATAAATGGCGTATGAATCAATCGTTGGTGACCGGCTACCATGATACTGCATCTCCTCACGATGCACCCCTGCCTTGTTGATCAGACTTCTGGGTTAAAGGTTGCAGGTGTGGCCTCCTAAGGAAACTACCTGCTTCCGTTTGGGCACCTAGGCAGTATCCTTCCTGTACTATATCCTTATATACAACCTATAATTTATATACTACTACCACCACTAAATTAATTACTTCTATGAACCCGGTGTTCATGTTGTTGTGCTAACGAGGTATGGCAACTTGGACCGATGCATAAACGTGCCTGGTCCTACGTTGTAGCTGACTGACTGACTGACAGCCCTCATACAAATCAAATGAGATTTGTGTGGCGCATATGTATAAAAAAACTTTTGGGGACCGTGGTGAAATTGTCGGATATCTTCGTCATTGACAAAAGGAGTATACATTTTATAATCTGAAGAATTACTTATGTTTACTTTTCTTGATTAACTAATTATTATGAATAAGTGTTCTCATTAAGTTTAAATCTTAATTCTAACTAACTGACATAAATTTAGAGCCAATACTTATGCATTAGAGTTAGAAGCAAAAAAGAAATGTTCAGATTGCAAAGTTACTAGTATAGTGAACAAGAACACAAGTGGGAACAATTAAATGTATATGAGTATAAAATTACAGAATATCTCACTAAAATCTGACAACCATATAGTAAACAGTGGATTTCTGAATTATCAACCAATTGTGTCAATCTTGATGGTTCCTTCTGTAAATATCAATCCATCGTCTCAGATTTTATTGTTTATGCAGTTCCATACCTACTATGTTCCATTCCTGTTCTTTCCTTATCGATCTACTAGTGAAATACATTCAATGCCTGACCATCATTATACATTACTTATATGTATATAAGTAACCCACACCACAGTAGGATCAATTTACTAGTGACCATTAAATGATACGATGAATAATGTTTAATTAGTAGTGTAGTGAACAAAAACACAATTGGAAAGAACAATCGAATGTATTTGAGCGCAAAATTACAGACTATCTCACTAAAATCTGATTACCATACAGTAAACAGTTAATTTGCAAATTATGAGTCAATCGATTCAATCTTGACTGTTCCTTCTGTAAATATAAGTCCATCGTCTTCGATTTCATCGTTCATGTATTTTCATATCAATTGCGTTTCTTTCTCGTTCTTTTCTTATCAATCTTCTACTGAAGTATATTTTCTGCCTGACAATGATTATATACTACTTATATGGATATAAGTAAGCCATACTACACTAGTAAATTAAAATTGAGTATAGTTTCATCAATGTCATAAATGAAATAACTCTATTAGTCCCCATATTTGCACCATGTAGCAGTTCGTTTTATTGGTAAATATTGTATATCAGTATCTTGAGAACACTTACTGTATATGCCATATACCTGACGTAGTAACTGTTATAACGTGTGAGTGAGTACGCGTGCTCTATTTGATAAATGAACGTGCTAATCCCCTCCAATGAGAGAGTAACGAATTATTGATCGGAGCAATGATACACAAAATCGTATGATCAGTCTTAAGTACTTGTCAGTTCTCAAAAGTTACCATTCACAACTCTCTTCGGGATACAACAGTAACTGTGTCCATGTCTCCTTTTAATAAAAAAATTGTCTGTCTACCTTTCTGATTTATAAGATATTGGCAGTTGCATTTCATGTAAACCCTTCATACTTTCAAATTATTAACTGATTGTTTTCTTTTTTCGCTCTCAGAATTTATACGCCCCTGATCCAGATCCAGAATTAGAAATGATCGAATATGAACGAAGTGAGGAAGAAAATGAATTTCTTGGTTTAACAGATATGAAAACTGAAGGCTATGAAACAACAGATACTTGAATGTCTTTTTTTATGATTAAAATGCCGTCTTGATTATTTTGTGTATTTTTTTTCTAAAAGAACCGGATGATAAATGGTTTCTTTGTCTTTTTTCGATAATGACAACTAAATACTAGGCTTATTTTACTGTTAAGCAAAGATGGATAGTGGCTAGTAGTGGAATCCAGCTTGAAGCGCTTTTCGTCCTATTTAGGACTCGTCAGCTGGATGTACCTGCATCTTAGAGTTGATGTTCACATCCAGCTGAATAGTCCGAAATAGGATGAAACGCACGTCAAACAGGATTCCACTGCTAGCCACTATTCATCTTTGCTTACCATGCTTGTGAATTTAGGCTATATCGAGGCATTACGCACAGTATGCACATATGCTAATTAGAGACTGACCATTTGCAGTCCTAAGCATCAATGGGAAGATTAAAACAAACAATACTAAGTGAATTTATTTTACTGTTGTTTCGATTTCTAAATCAGCTTTCTAAATCAGTGCCAAAATCTCATCAGACACCAACCCGCCAGGTTTTTTGAAACTTTCAAGATAAGGCTGGTGCCTAACACAACCACTTCACTTCTTATAATCAATTTAGATGATGATGGAAGTCTGTCCTTAAGCAACGTACATGCTTTGTTGCTTGATGTGATGAACAGACTACATCATATCAGCCTCTATCTAATAGGATTTAATTGATTTATCAACCTTCCAGTGGAGGTCAATCCGTGAAAAGTTTATCTAGTTACATTGTCACTTGCTAACAACTATGTGCATAAGTAAGTTTTCTTTGAACAGCTGCAACACAGGTTCTTTTTATTTCATAAATCAGAAGAAAACGACAAACATGCAGATTTAGTTAATTTTGTATTAGTTGTTTGAATCTTCCCGTTGATGTTCAGGACTGTAATAAACCAGTTTCGTATTGGCATATGTGTTCATTGCTTTAGGTCACAAACATTATAAGCAGAGATGGATGATGGCTATTGGTGGAATCCAGAACTCGCCCTATTTGAGACTCGTCGAAACCAACTAAAGGATGCAGGCATGTCTATCTGACGAGTCCCAAATAGGACGAAACAAACGTCCTGGATACCAATAAAAAACTGATCAGTTGCAGTCCTAAACGTGAATGGGAAAATTCGAACAACCAATCAAAATGAATTCAACTTCCTAAAGCTTTTGTCGTCATTAACTAATATTTTAAAACTTTATAATGGTATACTAAAATGAATAGTGGCTAGCAGTGGAATTTAGGACGCGCGTTTCGTTTTATTTGGGACTCGTCAGCTGAATGTACCTACATCTCAGAGTTGATGTTCACTCTGGGACTGACCAGTTGCAGTCCTAAACATCAATGAGAAGATTCAAACAAACAACTCTGAGTAAATCCACCCCATTGCAAAAGCAAGTGACTATCAGGACTTAGTAGCTGAATGGATAACGCAATGGTAATTGAAGCGAAATGTATTGCGTTCGAGTCCCGGAGTGAACATCAACTCTGAGATGCAGGTACATCTAGCTGACGAGTCCCAAATAAGACGAAACGCGCGTTCTGGATTCCACTGCTGGCCACTATCCATCTTTGCTCACTATGCTTGTGAAATAAGACTATATCGAGGCAATATGCACAGTATGCACATATGCCAATAAGAGACTGACCATTTGCAGTCCTAAACATTAATGCGAAGATTCAAAAAAGGAATACTAAGTTTATAATGATATCTTATGAGTATAAGGTAAGTTATTCGTAGCTAACCAACAGTGGTACATTAGTTTCTGTTGGGGATGTCAAATCCCCAGAACTTACTTGATAAATGGCTTATTTTTATTTTTAAAATTTGAATTTTGCTGTTTTTGCGCCAAAAGCGCTCTTTTTACCTTCACGTCATAGTTCCCACTTGTAAATTATCTTAAACGCTATTGGTCCATTGTTTCTTTGAGTGTGCTATTTTATAATGATGCCCAAGGACAATTTGTTGCTCTATATATACGTTTCAGTTTTTCCCCGTATGACTTGCTTGTACTCGGCTGATTACGGAATACATATTCCCCTACTTTGCCTTGAACTTCTTTATCTAGTTAGCGGAACCTGGGACAACAAATTAAATTAGCTTATCGCGTCATTGTGTCATTGGCTTTCGTTCGTTACCGAGAAATCGACTTAGTTCAAGCATATCAGTTTTGAATATTAATTATAAATGTAATTAGTAGTATATACTAATAAGCAATCAAATATCACAAAAATTGATGAAGACTTGTATAAATGTATGTTTTTGACAATAATATTTAGGGCATAATTGATTTGAACTTTTACATGATTTATAGTAGGTACTTTTTATTGAACGATAGTTAAAAAGTTAATACAATAAACTGTTCCCACTGTTAAAGTGCATCTAACGGAAAAAAGTTAAATAAGTTTGCTTATACAGATCAAAATTACTGAAAGTGAATGTGTGATGGGATAAGCCCCAAAATGCCCTGGTACGGCCAGGGGTGGGAGGAGTCCGCTCTCTTTCTCTGAATGCTCTCACATGAGCACGCGTATACAGCCATTGCCAAGGAAGTCCTACTCACTGCCTTCTCACGGTAGGAGTGTTGTTTACGAAATTGAGAGGACGAGAATCGAATGTTCGGTGCTTTAACCGAGTTGGTTGACACGAAGGGAATTAAAAAAACCCTGATTTTAAATCAATGATGCACGTAGGCTCCAAGATCCTAAAAGAACCAATGTCGTATGAACTTATTGTTGGTGACCGGCTACTATTAAATTGCATCTGGTAACGTTGGTCTACTGTCTTGTGGATCAGTCCTTAGGTCAAAGCCTCCGGGTGTGGCCCCCTAAGAAAACTACGTGCTTCGGTCTGGGCAGTATCACAGCCCTCACACAAATCAAATGAGAGTTTTGGGGTGCATATATATCTGGTGCCTCATTGTTCCAATATTTATGTGTTTGAATAAATAAATAAATTTTACTTTCTATTCATGTGTTTACTAATGAATTCCGTTGAATATCTATTATGAATATTCTCAAATTATGTTGTAAAGTAAAGCTTCTCATAAATGAGCAATGAGTTGCGTTTAACCAGATTCTCTTATGATAAATAAATATCCTCTTGATCCATTGTAATGAGTTGGCGTTCAGTAGTAACATTGATGGGTCCGGGGATTGCAAATTTCAACCAAATTCTATTTCAATTTGAGCAATCTAATATAATCTCCAATAATCAGATAGAAAGTGTAACTGAATATATAAAACTGCATTTGGTTGTTGAGTGACAAAATATTTATGGAATGAAATCGAACACTTATATATAATGATAACAAAAGTCCATAGTGTTTATGGGAAAGAAGTATATCTTCGTTCGATGATAGTTTAAGTTTCTTTACCGCAATGAGCGATATGATCTGGTGGGTTTTAAAGAAAATGAGCTGAAATACGGTCCTAAATATGACCTAAAGCATCATTAGTATAAGGATTGGATTGGATAATTTCATGAGTCGAATTTAGTTTCAGTGATCATCAGTCATTTGTTTAAGGTCCAATCATTATGAAGCTGAGCTGGTTTATGAAAGTAGTTTAACGGTATAAGATATACGTCACCTCCTGTTTAAAATTCACTTTTTCTATAATATATTTAAGGACTGAAGTGATAATGGGCATTCTGTGTTCGAATGATATAAAGTGATCTGCTAGATTATATCCTGCCTTGATTTTCGAGTATACGTGCATTTGTAACCGGTGGATAATTTATAAACTTACTTACGTACGCCTGTTACTGCCAATGGAGCATAGGTCGCCGACCAGCATTCTCCGACTCAATCTGTCCTGTGCCTTCATTTCTAGTTCAGTTTTGTCATATCTGCCTCCATTTCCCGGCATAATGTGTTTTTTGTCATCCTATCCTCCTTTGACCTTCAGGATTCCATGTGAGTGCTTGCCTTGTGACGCAGTTGGGTGATTTCCTTATTGTGTGTCCTATCCACTTCCAATGCTTCTTTCTCCACTGAAATCTGGTTTGTTCTCTCTCACAGGTGGTTGTTGCTGATAGTGCCTGACCACGTTTACGTTCAAATTTAGATTTTAATGCAGCAATATCAGCATTAAATTTAGATACTTGACTACGTAAATTACTAGCCTCTTCACTTTCTTCATCATATTTAGCTTGTAAATTATCATAATCCATTTGAAGTGATGTAAGTTGAGCTTGAAGATTGAAACGATTCTATAAGATGAATAGAAAAGTATAATGAAAATAATTTTTGGTTCAGTTAGAATTAGATGATATAAAATTCGAACTGATAACTTCATGGTACTGTATCACTTTACCAACAATCATAAACAGATCCATCTGGAAAACAATTGCCATTTTAGTTAACATTTTAGATCTGTACCTACTTAATTAATTACTTACGCCTGTTACTCCCAATGGAGCACAGGTCGCCAACCAGCATTCTCCAATCCATTCTGCCTTGGACCTTCCTTTCTAATTCTATCCAACTTCTGTTCATTCTTCTCATGCCTGTTTCTATTTCCCGACGTAATGTGTTGTCTGGTCTTCTTCTCCTCCTTTGACCTTCAGGACTCCAGGCGAGGGCTTGTCTTGTGACTCAGTTGGGTGACTTCCTCAATGTGTGTCCTATCCACCTCCAACGCTTCTTCCTCATTTCTTACTCCGTTGAAATCTTGTTTGGTCTCTTCCACAATAGATTGTTGCTGATAGTGTCTGGCCAACGGATCCTAAGTATTTTGCGTAGAAAACTGTTAATGATGATGGCTTTCGTAGTTCTTTAGGTTTTCGTCCCATACAGTAGAACTGTCTTGACATTTGTATTGAAAATTCTGATTTTGGTGTAGGTTGACAATCGTTTTGAGTTCCAGATGTTCTTCAGTCATAATTTTCAATGCATTCTGATTAATCAATCATTTAAGTTATTAAATTCATTTAGTATTGTTTGTTTGATTCTTCTCATCGATGCGTTAGGACTGCAACTGATCAGTCTCAAATTGGTATATGTGCATATTGCCTCAATATAACCTAAATTCCCAAGCATTGTGAGCAAAGATGGATAGTGGCCAGCAGTGGAATCCAGAACGCGCGTTTCGTCCTATTTGGGACTCGTCAGCTAGATGTACCTGCATCTCAGAGTTGATGTTCACTCCGGGACTCGAACGCAATACATTTCGCTTCAAACGCCATCGCGTTATCCACTTGTCCACTGAGTTCTGATAGCCACTTGCTTGTGCGATGGGGTGAAGTTTAAATTCATTTATTATTGCTTGTTTGAATCTTCCCATCGATGTGTTAGGACTGCAACTAGTCAGTCTCCAATTGACGAGTCCCAAACAGGACGATACGCGCGTCAAACTGGATTCCACTGCTAGTCACTATCCATCTTTTCTTACCATTTAAATTATTGTTTGTTACTTTATATTTTGTAGTTGAATAAGATTTCTGCGTTGTTTTGGTATTTCCTACCTATGGCTAATAGCAGTACTGTCAAACTAACTAGTTTCAATAAGGATTTTGTAGACCTGTACGTTGTTTTTTTGACTGACATCGCTCGATCAAAGGTTCTTTATCTAGGCAGAATTCGAATGTGAAGCAGGAATCTTACAAATCCAGTTGACATACACTCATTTTATTCATCAGTGAAGCAAACAAAATCGTTGTGAACGTTGAGAGACGAAAACTGTTCTACCACCTGATTGAGAGAGAAAACGAGCCAACTGAAAAGTACTCGGTTTATCCCTGATTCCTGATTTAGATCAACGTGAAAAGATACGTGAATAAATAGATGACTAACACGATCACAACATACGAACAATTAGAAAAATGCCATTATTTCCAAACTGGGTATTGGGGTAGAACAATGGATCACAAAAAGTTACATTTACATTACAATAGCGTCGGAACAGAAAGAGGTGTGTCAGTGAGTCATACATCAAATGAAAGATTATGGTTTATAAAATAAACTAGGGATCGAACTAAATGTTAGTAGTTTACAAACTATGAATGAAATTAAGTAGCTTCCGCTGTTTATCATGGTTTCTTTGTTTCTCTGTTCACATCTTATGCTCTTTTTAAACTCAATTTCGACGTTTTTATAGGTAAGTGCTGAAGTTGTTGAAGAATTCCAAATTACTAGTTAGTCAGTTACTTAGGTATTTCAGAAGATAGCAAAGGGTATCACCTGTGTCTGCCACCATAACTGTTAGTTTTCCTAGTAGATTGGAGCACTGGACCGTTGCTGCTACATTGACGTGGTGGTCAGGCTTGCCTATCGTGATGAACCAATCGAAATATACTGGCTGAATCAATCGTTCCTCAAGGTCCTACCATGCCAGGCAGGTAGGTCGAAGAGTGGTAAGACTAAAGGCAGCAAACTCAAAGTCCGAAGGCGAAGTCGTACTGCCGACTGTACAGAGGTGTGACAGCAGTAAGATGTTTCCTTCAGACAACCAGCATAACAGCGATGCTGCCTTTCCACAAGAAGGGGTGGGTTTAGAAAAGATCGACCCTAAAAATGCACACCTCGCCTTATCCTATGGATATCCGTCTCCGGCGGTAAGGTCTCAACAAGTACAGAGCTAACACAAAAATTACTCACAAAAAGGTGTGTGACCGACCTAAAGCAGTTGTCTCCTGGGCACTACGGTCACGCTCCCAGATCGTTAAGACCAATATTTAACCAACTTCCTTTTCAGGTCACTCAAGAAATACCCTTCCATGGTGTGGGCAACCGGGAAGTGATAACTACTCTCATACCTCTAACAGCACTCAAGACCATTGTAGATTGGAGCAGCTTCTGCTGAACATGCAATATGTTCATCTCTATAGCAACAAAATGTTCTATACACCATCGAAGTCCTTAATAAAGCTAATAGCTATGCTACATGTAAATAGAAATTCTGTTTTCCTACAATATGCCCTATTTTTTGAAAGGTTTAATAACATCTAACCTCACAAACGACATCTTTTCATGGATTACTCGTATTGGAAACATTATTTCACTAGCTATCCACATGCTCAGATATCACAGTTTTACTCAGACCAGAAATTTCAAATCCTTCATCCATACACATACGTTCTTTGCAGAACAATAGTCAGTTATATTGCAATCATAATGTACAATGACGTATAACGATTTTACATATTATGATAAAGATTATGTATAATAAACTATTCACTGAATGTTGACTGTTTTTGTCTCTCCATATTTGGAATAATACGGAAAAATAAACCGGTATTGCTAACAGGTGTAAATGTTTGTCATAGTCTTATCTACATCCATCTTGGGTTTCATTATGTAAGTGTATGATGTAATCATCATGTAGTCAGTGATATGTTTGCGGCACTCGACTCTAGAAACTAGTCTTTTGTGTATTAAATTACCGTATTCGACAAGCTGGTAGCAGTGCGCATCCATGATCCCGCTTCACGAGATTCGAACCCAGGAACTATCAGTCTTGCACTCGAGCGCTCAACTGTTGAGGAGTCCCACAATAGGACGAAACGACTATCCAGTGCTTCCAGGTTTTCCATAGTGGCCTAGCTTCAGTTGACTTATGGTTTCAACTATAAAAATTACTGAAATCTCCACAAAAACCCCTTCTGATAAACTGGTAGTGTATCCTAAAGATACTACACTAGTGCAGTCTTAATCCTTTTATTTATAGCTCAGCTAGCCACCACCCATTTTCGCTTATAATGCTTATGACTTGAGGCAATATCGAGGCAATCCATGCAGTATGCACATATACTATTAAGAGACTGATCAATTGTAGTCCTATACATAGTTAGATACCTTGAATGAAATGGCTCAAAATCGTTTGCCATGGTGCAGGTGCCTCCACTCTTTGTGTTCTGCCAAGTTCTAATCTTCGAATTCTTCATGTCTCTATCTTTTTTTTTCTCTTTCCAAATTTGTTTCGCTGGATTATACTTCTTGAATAACATCTTCAAACCCTAATCTTTAGGATTACTGCTTACACTCTTACTACTTCTACCACTATGGGATTTGAATAGACAACTGCATTTCTGTGTTAATTTGGTGTGGCAACTCGAACTGGTGTACGTACGTACGAAGTTCAGCGCTGTGACTAACTGACACTACAACTAAATAGACTAAATGTTTTTGAACGTCAAAATCAAAAAGCTAACATTAGTTACCTTGTCTCGAAAATTACTTGCTTTTATTTGAAATGATTGTTAACCCTAATTATGTATTTGTGACTTGTACTAATATTTAGCAACTCTGACTTCCGTACTCAGTCAATCAGTCATAACGTAGAACTTCGTACGTACGTACATACGTACAACAGTTCGAGTTGCCATACCACATGAACACAGAGATGTAGTTGTCGTTTCGAATTACATAGTGGTTGACTTTCGTACTATGAACCATACTCTACTTCCTGCCCCATGAATTAAAGTAAAAAAGATTGGTTTGGTAATTGGAACTTCATTTCCGTCAATCTCGACATCATCGATAAAGAACAACAAATTTTGTCATCGATTTAAAATGATTAGAATGTAAGACGTATCTTTTGTTCCGAAAACAAATCATTGAAATCTCTTAAATAGAGTTCATACTTTATAACTGTACACAAATACCAAGCTGTAACTACGGTGTTGTACATTTATTAACAGTAATAACCATTACAGGTTTTCAATTGAGAACTTGATGTCTAATATATTCTCCTTACAATTCTGCTTACAGATGAACATAGATATGAGGGTAAATGATACACTTTTGCTTCTCATTTAATCTGAAATTCATTTAACTAGGTGCTACTTATCTGATTGAAGCCAAAAATCTTGAATGTGCGATTCAGAGTAGATCATTAACCACTTGTTCCACAGTTTGAGAAATTTTGGTAGTTATGAAGGTTTATTTATTTATTTAAACACTTGGATATTGGTGCGACGGGGCACCAGATATATATGCGCCACACATATCTCATTTGATTTGTGTGAGGGCTACGATGCTGCCCAGACTGAAGCAAGTGGTTTTCTTAGGGGGCCACACCCCGAGCCTTTGACCTAAAGGTCTGATCCACAAGGCAGTGGAGCATCGTGAGGAGATGCAGTCCCATGGTAGCCGGTGACCGACAATTGGTTCATACGCAATTTATTCTATCAGGATACTGGAGCTGATGTTCACCATTGGTTTGGAGTCAGGGTTACAAACAGTAAAAGCCAAATCATCTCTATCTGAAACTTTATATCACCTCTCAATTTCGTCATTTAGATCAACGATGAAATCATATTTCATATAGCGATATGGTAACAAATTAGATTATCAAAAGTGATGCAATTCAACTTAATCCTGTTATGAGAATCCAAATACAATAAATTTCCTCCCAAAATCTTGATCCTAATTGCTATTCATTAAGAAATCATCTTACTGATAATACTATCGTCCCACTATTTTATACAATAACAACTTCTTAAAAAAATATACGTAATAAGCCTAAAAGTCATAGAAACACCATGAGGTGACTTGTAATGTATGCCTAGTTTAATTATATAATTTGAAGGATACTTCAAAAAGGATATGGTTCATGAACTGCATGATACTGCAAGGATCCTGTGACAGTAAAGGAACTCAATAGATTTCTTAGATTTTCTGTTAAGCTTGGTATAGAGAATACCAGGATGAATTTTCTGAAAAGCATTACTCATCTATTAAATTTATAAACTAAACTGACAGTCATTTTACAGTTGAATATTATTGAGTCAATTGATGCTAGACAACCACGGAAAACCTGGAAGCACTGGACGGCTATTTCGTCCTATTGTGGGACTTCTCAGCAAGTCTGTTGTGAGATAGTAACTCACTGAAGACAATGGTGGATGTATCGCTAAATTTCGTGGATCGTTTGAAGTAAGGCATTAACACCGTTGTATGCTGACCGGCTTGGTGGTCTAGAGGTTAGGCGCTGGCGCTCGAAATTGATAGGTCCTGGGTTCGAGTCTCGTGAGATGGGATCGTTCATACGCACTGTTGAGGAGTCCCACAATAGGACGAGGTGGCCGTCTAGTTCGTCCAGGTTTTCCACGGTGGTCTAGCTTCAATTGATTCATGATCTCAACTGTTAAAATTACACTGATAGTGTCGAATATTGTTGTTATACATATTATGATCTCATTTAGTTTTATTTACAGAAATATTTCAGACATGAGAAACGAATATCTTTCATTTATGATTTACATAGTTACACTTTAAATACCAATAAAATTTGTCATTATTTTCTCAAATGGATATGGTTTGTTTCTTTATGGTTTAAAGATATTTAAGATAATAGAGATTTATGAGTTGAATTCAGGAGTTAATCTAAACTAGACCACAAACCTTCGGGTTCGCGCGCTGACGCTAAACCTCTTGACCACTAGGCCAGCATCCAACGGTGTTAATGTCTAACTTCAACCAGTCCACGAAATTGAGCGACCGTTCACCATTGTCTTTAGTGAGTTGTTATCTCACAACAGACGCAGTTGAACTCCACTGGTCAATACTTCTCACCAGAACTCCAGGAAATACCTTTTAAAACCAGTCACTAATCAGCATATTTTGATTAATATCAGAAGAGGGTTTTATGGAGATTTTAGTAATTTTATCGTTGAAATCATGAGTCAATTGAAGCTAGACCACCATGGAAAACCTGGGAGCACTGGATGGCGGTTTTGTCCTAGTTTGGGACTTCTCAGCAGTATGCATCTGCGATCCCGCCTCGTGAGATTCGAACTTAACAGTCTCGAACGCTTAACTTCTACACCACTGAGATGACCGTCGTTCAACGGTGTTAATGTTTAACTTTAACCAATCCACGAAATTGCTCCACCATCTACCATTGTCTTCAGTGAGTTACTATTTAAAAACAGACCTTATCGAACACCACTGGTCACGGCTTCTAACTAGAAATTCAGGAAATACAGATAGGTCCAGGGTTCGAATCTTGCGAGGCGGGATAAGGGACATATACTGCAGAGGAGTTCAATACTAGAACAAGACAGCCGTCTAATGCTTCCAAGTTTTTCATGATAGTCTAGCTTACATCGACTCATGAATTCAAAAATTAAAATCACTATTATATCTATTAATAACTCCACCTGTAGCTCCTCCGGGGCTACTGCCGATCCCAAGCCCGTATAAAGGAGTTGAACATGGTGTTGATGAATCCATCTCGTAGAAAAATAACTCGCTAAAAAAACACTAACCAGTATCTACTAAAACCATCAGAGACTTGTTATATCCCGTTGAGAATTATGAATAGTAACTTTTGTGAACTATTTATAGGTCAATATGATATGCATATTTCGTAGTGTATAATTGTTAACTAACTAAACTATTCATATTCGTGTCCCTTTTATTATAAGCTTTATCTTGACCCAAAGACTATTACTGTACGATTTACCAATCTTGAATTATCCCGAGTCTATTAATTACTGTTCCCCCTCATTCACAGCCACATTTGGCTGAATCTTGTACACATGTTGTTTTTCTATTTTATGGTACGATGTAGTCTGTTTGATTGGTATATAAACCCAGTATGTTTTTAGATAATAATTCATATTACAGAGGTTGTTATTGATGTTTTGGACTTAACTGGCTGGGCTAGGCAGAAGTAGGACCGACAAGTACTCTAGATTGCTCATACGGTTTCTGTGTGTCATTTAATCCAATTGATAATTCACTGTTCTCTAATTGGTGATCTTATTACGTTGAAAATGATCACGGCATCCAGGCAAGTACAAAGTATAACAGATATACATGAAAAATTAATCTCATATGTGAATTCTGAATTGTATGTAAAAATTGGTAGGTTTACTATCAAGCATCAACTTAACTGGCAATTAGTGAATTGAAATCATGTGCTATAGATATGACTCTATGATACATTCATTTCATTAATCCATCTTACTTTGAATTACTCTTTTATGATCATGCATTCATAGTGACTTTATGCAAGTCCTCCTTACCACCTTCACAGGAGGATAGTGTTTCTACAAAATTAAGCTGTTTGCAAATGTCTGGTATTAGGTATGATACGTTTTACTAGGGTTGCGTACATATTCCAGGATTCTGATGAGTATATTTTGACCACCAGCTACCATGATTATATGTCTTCTAATGTTTCTTCATTGTCTTGTGAATTAAGCTTTTAGGCTAAAGACTTAAGAATCTGTAGTATACAGTAGATTACCTACTTCAATTTTGGCATCGGGGTGGCAGTCTGTTTGGTATATAAACCCAGTATGTTTGAAATACAATGATTCATATTGCAGAGGTTGTTATTAGTGTTCTGGACTTAACTGGTTGGGCTAGGCAGATAGCAGCACTGATAAGTACTCAAGACTGCTCATACGGTTTCCATGTGTCATTAATCCGATCAATAAAATCACTGCTCTCTCATTGGCAGGTATCAACACGTTCAAATATATCAAACACGTACGCACTCAATCCATATCTATATATCAGTGGCCGACGGGGAAACACTACAATCATCAAGATTTATCAAAACTAAGTGTTCAATATCACAAGGGTTTTTTTGTGGAGATTAAGGGGTCTGGCTCAAGACTGTTAGTTTCTGGGTTTGAATCTCACGAGTGCGAGAATGTGGATGAGCACTGCCACTGAAGAGTTCCATAATAGGATGAAACGGCCGTTCAATGCTTTCAGGTTTTCCACGGTGGTCTAGCTTCAATTGACTCATAATCTTTTACTATAAGTGTTCAATATTCAATTTACAATAATTTTTTTTCTTTACCTTTATCTAATTTGTTTTAATGAACTAAACTATAAACATGAAAAGTAGTGTATTATTTCTAGTATTTTATAAACTAGTATTCTTTTCCTTTCTTTTCTTTTTTCCTCTTTTTTCTCTTCTCTCTTTTTCTTTTCTTCTTCTTCTTCTTCTTCCTTTCTCTTCTTCTTTTCTCTCTTTTTCTTTTCTCTCTTTTTCTTTTCTTTTAACTTTGTATTTTTTTGTTCTAATTTTAATCTTTTTGATATTTGTTTTAATTGATATAAATTAGGCATTAAAAAACAGATGTAGCATTTAACCTTATTCGATATATGTGTATATGTGTGTGTTGTTATTATAAGTAAAAAGAGAAAGTAAAGTTCATTTAAAATGAAAATCAAAATTTGTTTTCATGATAAACAATGATAGATGGTGGTTAGAAGTGGAATCTAATTGAACGTATGTTTCATCCTATTTGGGATTTGTCAGATGGATGTACACTTGCATCACAGAGTTAGTGTGCACTCTGGGACTCGAACTCGGTACCTTTTGCTTCAAACGCCATCGCGTTATTCACTCAGCCACTGAGTCTTGATAGTCACTTGCTTGTGCGATGGGGTGAAGTTTAGTTTCATTTAGTGTTGTTTACGTGTATCTTTCCATTATTTTTTAGGACTGCAATTGATCAGTTTCTTGTTGGGCTCAGTAGCTAAGTGGAAAACACAATGGTATTTGAAGTGAACGGTATTGAGTTCGAGTCACAGAGTGAACATCAATTCTGAGATGCAGGTGTACATCCATCTGACGAGTCCCAAATAGGACGAAGTGCGCGTCAACATGGATTCTGTTGCTAGCCACTATCCATCATTGCATATAAACCTTGTGACTTAATGTAGTATCTAGACAATACACACAGTATGAACATATGCCAATAAGAGACTAATCAGTTGCAGTCCTAAACATAAATGAGAAGATTCAAACAAACAATAGTAAGTGAATTTAAACTGTATCCCATTCCACAAGCATGTGGCCATCAGGACTCAGTAACTAAGTGGATAACGTGATGGTGTATGAAGCGAGTGGTACTGGGTTCGAGTCCCAGATTGAATATCAACTCTAAGATGTTGGTACATCCAACTGGCGAGTCCCAAATATGGTGAAACACGTGTTAAACTGGATTCCACTGCTAGTTACTATCCATCTTCACTTATAAAGCTTGTGATTCCAGGCAATATCGAGGCAGTCCTCACAGTATGCACATATGGCCAATAAGAGACTGATCGATTGCAGTCCAAAATAACAACGTGAAGATACAAGTAAACAACATCAAGTTAATTCAAAAATTTTCATCTTTTTTTAATGATTACTACTATTAGTAGTTTTTTTAATTATTATAATTATTAAAATTTAGATTAATGAGAGTGTAATGGTTGAGGATAATATTCATATCCAAAAAGTATATTGATACCGAATGATACTTGATAGAGAAACTCTGGAAAATGTTGAATCTTTCATGTAATTGGGAAGCATCTTCGATGAACTAGGAGGATCTGATGGAGACGTAATGACAAGAATTGACAAAACAAGGACAGCATTCCTACTATTAAAGAATATATGAAACTCTAAACAGTTGTCTCCAAGTCAACATCAAAGCCACAATCTTCAATACGAACGTCAAGACAATCCTATTGTACAGAGCTGAAACATGGAGAATTATCAAAACCATCGTCGAGAAGGTATAAGTATTTATAAACAATTGTTTATCCGAGATACTGAATCTCCGTTGACCGGATACCATTAGCAACAACTTACTGTGGGAGAGAACAAACCAACTTCCATCTGAGGAGGAAATTCTAGAAAGGTGTTGTACGTGGATATGAGATACATTGAGGAAATCATTAAACTGCATAACGAGGAAAGCCCTAACTTGGAATCTTGAAGGAGAACGGAAAAGAGGAAGGTCGAAAAACACATTGCTTCTGAAATTGGAAGCAGACATGAAAAGAATGAATAGCAACTTCAAAGAATTGCTCATGACAGGGTTTGATGGAGAGTACTGTTGCATGGCCTATATTTATATACAATGAGGACAACAACAAGTGAAGAACCAAGGCAACGAGAAATGAAAAAAGATTCACAAAAGCACGAATAAACCAGTTTTTGATATGTTAATGTAGTGAACGAGAACACAAGTGGGGACAACCAAATGTGTTTGAACACAAAATTACGGAACAACTTAGTCAAATCTGAGAACCATACAGTAAATAAGCAAAGATGGATAGTGGCTAGCACTAAAATCCAGGACGCGCGTTTCATCATATTTGGTGTACTTTAATATCAGAGTTGGTGTTCACTCTGGGACTCGAGTCCAGTATTTTTCGCTTCAAACGCCATTCAAGTAGGACGAAACACACGTCCTGGATTCTACAGTGCTTGTGAATTAAGACAATACGCACAGTATACACAGATGTCAATAAAAGACTGATCAATTGCAGTTCTAAACATCAATGGGAAGATTCAGATAAACAATACTAAATGAATTCATACAGTAAATACTTCATTTACAAACTGTCAATCAATTGTCTCAGATCTGATTGTTCTTTTCGTAAGTATCTGTCAATCGTTTCAAACTTGATTGTTCATTCGTTTCCATACCAATCATTCTCTATTCTCTTTCTCTTTCTTTTATCTTTTTAACCTGCTGCCAGATATTTTACTTTCGTAGTTGAAATCATGAGTCAATTGAAGCTAGACCACCATCGACAACCTGGAAGCACTGGACTTCCGTCTCGTCATATAATGTGATTCCTCAACAATGCGCATCTACGTACCCGCACTCGCGAGATTCCAACCCAGGTGCTATCAGTCTCACGTGCGAGCGATTAACTACTAGCCACTGAGCCGTCATCTATGGTGTTAATGTCTAACTTCAACCAATCCACGAAGTTGATCAACCGTTCACCAGTTGTCTTCAGTGAGTTGTTATCTCACAACAGACATGGTGGAACTCCGGTGGTCACTGCTTATCACTAGAACTTCAGGACATACTTCTTGAAGGCATTCACTAGTGAGCATATTATTCTAATCAGAAAGGGCTTTGTGGAGATTTCAGTATTTTCATAGTTGAAATCATGGTAGGTCCTGAGTTCGAATCTTGTGAGGCTGGATCGTGGACGAGCACTACTGAGGAGTTTCACAATAGGATGAAACGGCCGTCCAGTTCTTCCAGGTTTTCCTCGATGTCTATCTTCAATTGACTCATGATTTCAACTATGAATAAATACTGAAATCTCCACAAAACCCCATTCTGATTTTATTTTCGATTGATGATACATACTACTTATATCTATTTACATCAGTAGCGCACACCACATTCATTTTTTTAAATACTTGTATAATAAAGCCAAATTAGGATAAAACATTCCATTGTAATTTTACCGGTTAACTTTCTGTCACCTAATTTTACCTTTTCAATTATTTTTATTATTAGAAGTGCAAATGATGTTCCTTTTTTTTGGTTATATTAAGGCACACAATACATATAGATCAGTGGGTGGATTTAGGTAGATCGATTCATCCTCAAATATTTTCAATAATTGATTTCGGGTTGTTGTTTTTTTTCATTTTGTGTTACACACATAATTTTGATTGGTTTAAACAATAGCGCATAGGGGGATTTTATACATTTCAGGTAATATCAACGCAGTCTGCATAGGATACATACATGGCAACAAGAGATTGATCCATTGCAAGGCTTAGCAACAATGGGAAGATACATGTATACAATACTAAGTGAAGTGATATCTATATTGCTTCCAAAACAATGAAGTTCTAATTCAATTTCATCATAAGATAAATTAAAGTACACTTACATGTTAAGGTTAGTTATGGGTGTGTGTGTGTGTGCATATGTGTATATGGGTGTGCAAGATGATTATATATCCACACTATTACACCTAGTATATAGATATATGTCTACCCTACTACATGTATGTGTAAGTTGACCGACTACTGCACTAATTCCCATTCTTCCACCTCCATATATATATATTCACTTTTTCTTAATATTATAACAGAAAGGAGCATACACAAAAAAGTCTTTCACTAATGTAAGTTAATCATTTGCCCATTTTATATTAAATCTTTATTATAATCAATCTTATTAAGTACTATCATCCTTATTGATTGAGTACATAAGTTTCTGTTTCTTACTTCTTTGTCGATCCTGACGACGAATATTTTGAATGATCGCCAGTTAGAAGTTAGCAGCCCAGAGTCAATCGACATCTGAATAATGTATATTATTTTCATTGTATATTGCCTGCCTGAAACCACGATATCTCTGATTAGGCCTTTTTGTAACCTTTACAGTTAAAGGTTATACTTTTTTCAGGAATGCATCTGAATAGACCGTGCGACTAATAAGCATAATGATGTTTTAAAACAAGCATAAAGAGATAACTTGTTGAAATATCTAAATGACAGGAACAGGTAGCCCAGATATTCAAACAGGCCGCAATCGTTACTTATAAACTTAGTTTAAATTTAGAATATTTTATATAATTCTTACCATTATTATCATTATTACTATTGTCATTTAGTGTTTTTAGTTGCAAAGTTAATCTTTTAATTCATTATATATATAAAGAAACTAATAGGCTCTGGGTTCGAATCTCGTAAGACAAGATTGTAGATGCGCACTGTTGAGGAGTCGTACACAATAGGACGAAACAGCCGTCTATTGTTTCCAGATTTTTTATGGTGGTCTAGCTTCAATTGACTCATGGTATTCAACTATCTAGCAGACACGATGCACTGCCTCACCGAACGACTCCCCGACGTGGGGCTCAAACCCACGACCCTGAGATTAAGAGTTTAATACTTTACCGACTGAGCTAGCCGGGCTTGATTTCAACTATATAAAGAGTTAATCCATTCTTTCTTTATTCTTTTCTAAATATGATTCCTTCAATTTATTATTTTAGATTAAAAAGAAAAATTTAAAAAAAAGAGAAAAATGATGAATCATGATACAGAATCTCATGTGAAAATATCAAGAACTATTTATCGAGGAGTATCACCAAGTACAACAAGACTTGAGGTAATTTATATCATATTGATTTATTATTTATTTGAATACATCAATATTGGTACAAAGGGGGGGGGGTACCAGATACATATGTGCCACACAAATCTCACTTGATTTATGTGAGGGCTATGATACTATCCAGGTGCCCAAACCGAAACAAATGATTTTCTATGAGGAGGGCCACACCAGGACCCTTCGACCTAGAGG